TCCCACTCGCTCGTGAGCATTCACCACAAGCAAACGGGACTCTCCCAGGCGATGATGTCCGGTCCCAAACAGTCATACTTTCTTCACGATGTTGAATACACACGTGTGGTAGGGTGATCTAAAATTTTCACGGTCGTGGCGCATTCCACGGTCAAGGCGCAATTGTTCCCTGAGGAGGAATACCATAATGCTGGCAGGACTAACCGCCGGAGCCATAGCCGCAGTTATCGCTGCCTTGGTGTCCCTCCCGCTTCATGCCCCTGTGGACAGTGCCTTCAACAGCGCGACGGTCGCCATCGCGGCGCTGGTTGTGGGAGGGATCTCCGGTCTCCTGTGGTCACGGTTGTCGGGCCGCTTGCTGTGGTTTTTGGGTGCGCTGGCCGGGCTGCTTATCATCGCCCTGGTAATCGCATTCGCGGGGAATACCCAGCTTGACCGGATGGTCTCCTTCATGGTGCCCCTCGCGGTCATTGTCATTGTCGTTTGCGCGGTGCTTACGCCGCTGCTGGCATCGTTCTTTCTGAAGCCCACCATTGGGCTCCTGAAATGGTCTCCCGTCGTGGCAGTGATTGTGGCGCTGGTGGTCGGGTTCGCGCTGGTGACCCAGGGCGATGCCGAAAGTGGCGAGCTGGCGCTGCCGCCACCTCCCACTGCATCGGCGTCCGCGCCCACGGAGGCACCGGACAGTCCGCCCGCGCAGACTTCGGACGAGCCTGCCTATGTTGTCGGTTCCGATGCCTATATTGTGGGCGAGGGGTCAAAGATCACTTTCACTTTCGAGGAGGAACTTGGGCGTGCACCGATCCGGTTCGACGCGGTAGTTTCCAGCACAGCGTTGAACGGCGTGGCTAACCTGGGGGGTGAGCCGTCAGTGATCACCCTTGACCTGCACTCGTTGCAGAGCGACCAAGAGTTCCGAGACCGCTACATCCGAAATCAACTGTTCCCCGACTCGCCCGAGGCAGTCGTTACGGTTGACCAACTACCGGACTTGCCCCAGAGCTTCTTTGACGGCGAGGAGACCACCGGCCAGCTAGACGGGTCGCTGCAGATAGGAGAGACCGCCACGCCGCTGGTTTTCGACGTGACGGCCCGCAACGACGGCAACGCCGTCAACATTCTGGGTCTGACGACTTTTACCTGGGAGCAATTGGGGCTCACCAAGCCCTCGGCCCGCTCCGTGGTCTACGTGGCCGACGAAGTCAGAGTGCAGGTGAGGCTGGTGGCGCAGAAGGCCCCCTAGTAGTCCGAAATCTTAGAAATGATGAGTCCCGACAGTAGCGACAACTTGAACGCCGCAAGCACAGTAATACGGTAGCAGGCCACGATACGTCGAAAGGAACATCGACGCGCTACGGGCGAGGGATGCCAGAAACGGGAGCCCATATTCACCGCTGAGGTTCTTCGCTTTACATCGGGACACGCAGGGGTGAGGGTTAGGTGCAATGCTGTATCTTGTCGGATTGGCTGTTGTTGCTGCGTTTGCATTGGCCTTCTGGAAGTTGTTCGGCGCGGGAAATTCAGGCCGTGCAAGCGGTAGCGACTTGATGGAGTTGCGTCAGGCTGAGAACAAGGTCAAGGTGTCCGACCCGATTCTGCGCAGAGACATCGACATTCTGGACCGCTATGGCTCCGACCTGTTACAAGACGCGATAGAACTGCGACGCGCCCAAATACTGCAGGGCGGACACCCCGACAGCCCTTCCTCTGGATAGGAGTGCCATAATCCATAGGCACAAAAGAGGGTACGGAGCGCCCGAACCCCCTCGCCGCACTCCTCGGATGACCGCCCAATTGTGGGCCCCGCTAACCATCTGGCAAGGGAATGGACCTGTCCTGCCGGACGGACGCCCCGCTGAATGAATCCGAACTGGACGAACTGACCGGATGGCTGAACACTGTGATCGCCAATATCCGCGAATACGAGGGATACAGCCCAGCGGAGAGCGTAACTCCAAGTCGAGATCCCAGTCCGTCGCCGAACATCTGTACGTTTCAGGGGATGAGGAAAAGTTCCCAGTCAGATAAGAAAAGATCGTGGACTTCGCGCCCTACTCCGACGGGCTCGGCATCATGCGGGACACTCAGGCGGCGAAACCGCAACCATCCCGGACCGGAGACGCTGGTTCGCCTACAACCCCTCCACCAACCTACTGGACCAAAATCCTTGAAATGACGGGTGGGATGCCAGGTTGCCTGGGGATGGTTCCCATTAGCCTGGTATGCCCGAGGAGAGGTCGCGTACCAATCAACCCATCATTCCAACAATTCCGGACTACTAGCCTCCCACCGCCACCGTCTGCCGTTGCTCCGACGAGAGGCGGATGCTGTCCACCAGCCGGTGCAGGTCAACGGCCGTATCGAAATCGGGTTGGCGCTCTCCCTGCCCGCGGATGGCCTCGCCGAACATGTAATAGAGCTGACCCACGTTGTAGGGCGCTCCCTCCGGCATTCCCTCCAGCACGAACCGGTGTTGGTCCAGGATGGCCAGGTCTTCCAACTCGTCCGTTCCCTCGGCGCCCTGCAGCCGCACGGGACCGAGCTGCGGAGAGTCCTCGGAAGTGGCGATGAGCGTTCCCTCTCGCCCGTACACCTCCAGCCGGTAGCCGCTGCCCGCCCAGGGGTTGCTGGCGACGTGGACGGAAACCACCGCTCCGTTGTCCAGGCGACCGTTGATCAGGATGTTGTCGGGGGATGTAACGTCCAGGTACTGATCGGTGTCGGTCTCGTACCACTGATCGCACTGGGTGGAAACGATGGCTGAAACATCGGCGAAGTCGCCCACCACGAAACGCATGGCGTCCACTGAGTGTCCGGTGGCAATGGTCAGGGTGTTGGCGCCCAGCTCGTCGTCGCGCTGCCAAGTCCGGCCTGAGGGCCGGGCGAGCACACCTCCGCGGATGAGCGTCATTGAGCACGACATAATCTCGCCGACATAACCCTGCTCGACCAGCTGCTTCATCTGCAGCACTGCGGGTGCGGCGCGGGCCTGCAGCCCGACCACCGCCTTCACCCCCTTTGCGCGGGCCAGGTTGGCAAGCTCTTCGGCCTCGCCGGTGGTCTTGCCCAGCGGCCACTCGGTGAAGACGTGCTTGCCCGCGTTGAGGGCGTCCTTGGTTATCTGGTAGTGGGCGGGCACGCGCAGGACCACCGCGACCGCATCTATGTCGGGATGGGCCAGCATTTCCTGGTAACTATCGAAGGCCATCACCGCGCCGTACAGACGCTTCGATTCCTCGGCGGTCTCCATTCGCGTCGTGCAGACGCCGGTAAGCTCGAATTCCGGACTTGCGGCGATCGCGGGAAGATGGGAACGATGGGCCCAGCCCACGGTAGGGCTAGCGCCGATGATTCCAAGTCTGATTTTTCCAGCCACTTTACTCCTCCGGGTCATAAGGATCGGGACGCATCGCTCTCAGGCGTCGAGTTGGGCGGATTATACAGTCCCAGCGGGCCAAATGCCGGTCGGGTCGTATGCTCTATTGATTTTCAGTGACGTTCCTTGGTAAAGTTGGATCAATCAACCCCGCAATCAGGAGGGCCTATGCGCCGCATACTGATTCCACTGGTATTCGCAGCACTTTTGACCATCGCGGCAATTATGCCCGCTGCTGCCAGCGGTCCGGACGGTACTGAGAAGCAGGCGGGTGCGGGCTGCGATTATATGAGCTAGGACTCTCGCTTGAGCCGAAAATAGAAAGGCCTCCCGAATGAGGGGGCCTTTTTTCGTATGTGACCCGCCGGCTTGAAGTCCAGTCTACAGGCGCTGCAGGTAGTGCTCAATCTCGTAGTTGGTCACCTGTGAGCAGTATTCGCCCCACTCCCTGCGCTTGTTCTGGATGAAGCTGGGGAAGATTTGATCGCCAAGAGCCTCCCTTAGCAGCTCGCTGTCCTCCGCAAGGGAGATTGCGTGGCCGAGGCTGGTCGGCAGGGTCTTTATGCCCAGGGCCTGACGCTGCGCTTCGCTCATCGACGCAGCGTTCTCAGCTATCGGAAGGGGCGCCGGATAGTCCTCCTGTATGCCTTTCATTCCTGCGGCCAGCATTACGCTGAAGGCCAGGTATGGATTGCAGGCTGGGTCGGGTGCGCGGTATTCCACCCGCATGGAACTTTCATACCCCGGTTTGTAGGAGGGCACCCGGACCAGATCCGCCCGGTTCACGTGGGACCATGAGACGTACGCCGGGGCCTCATATCCTGGGACCAGTCGCTTGTACGAGTTTACCCACTGGTTGGTCACCACCGTAATCTCCGGCGCGTGACGCAGCAGACCGGCGATAAACTTGCGGCCCACCTCCGACAGGTAGTGCTCGTCATCCTCGTCGAAGAAAGCGTTGTTCTCACCCTGGAACAGGGACTGGTGTATGTGCATCCCGGAGCCGTTGACGCCAGCGATAGGCTTGGGCATGAAGGTGGCGTAGACCCCCTGCACCTGGGCCAGTTCCTTTACGACCAGCCGGGCCGTCATCACGCTGTCGGCCATTGCCAGGGCATCGGTGTACTGCAGGTCAATCTCGTGTTGGCTTGGGGCCGCCTCGTGGTGGGAGTACTTGACCGGGACGTCCATTGCCGCCAGGTTCAGCACCGTGTCGCGCCTGAGGTCGCTGGCGGGCTGGCTAGAAAGCTGGTCGAAGTAGCCACCGTGGTCTAGGGGTTTGGCTTCTTTGCGTTTCTTCGTTCCACCGGAGTCTTTCAGGTAGAAGTACTCCAGCTCGGTGCCGACGTAGTAGGTGTAGCCCATCCGGGCGAGGTGTTCCAGGTTGCGCTTCAGGACCGCCCGTGAATCGCCGCCGAAGCTTTCACCACCTGGCCGCTGAATGTCGCAGAACATGCGCGCCACCGCGTTCTGCTGGGGACGCCAGGGCAGCAGGGTGAAGGTGTTGGGATCCGGAAAGGCGCGCATATCGCTCTCGTCGGAACGCGCGTAGCTCTCGATGGCGGATCCGTCGAAACCCACGCCCTCTTCGATGGCGTCGCGCAGATCGGCGGCATTGATGGCAAACCCCTTCAGGTTCCCGAGAATGTCCGGAAACCAGAGGCGGACAAATTTAACGTCGGCGTCCTCAGCAGTCTGCAGAACGTAGTCTCTTGCCGTCTCGTCAAGGTTCGTCCCGGGTCGCCATGCTCGCCTCCTGGGACTTGCTGGAAACTCTGCCCAGTGCCCAACTCAATTATCTTTCCGATGGAAAAGCCAATCGGGGTCCCTTGTAGTATCCCATTCTACAACAGACCAGGGATCAGGCGAGAGAACTGGAATCCGGTATGGTGGTACCGGCGTACAAGAGGCATGAAAGAGGGACTGAGGAATTGAGAGATTTGGCGCGCCCGGCAGGATTCGAACCCGCAACCCCTGGGTCCGAAGCCCAGTGCTCTATCCATTGAGCTACAGGCGCTGGCAAAAGCAGCGTGCAGTGCCGAGGGTCCCGGCGCTGCTTGGGGCGAGCGACGGGGTTCGAACCCGTGATCTCCTGTGCCACAGACAGGCGCCTTGACCACTCGGCTACGCTCGCCACGTATTTCAATGCTAACAAATAGGATTGCCGGTTACAAGCGAAGCGGGGACGTTCGATTTTCAAACCGATTTGAAACTTGGTAAAAGGCGCGCCTACAATGGCGCGATAGTACCGGGATGGTACTGATAGTACTATGGAAGGTCCACCGGCCCGTCTGAGAGTGGCTAGTTCAAAAGGGGGCAGCAGGGTCACAGGTATGAATGTATTCAAGATCTGGCGAGGCCTGGGAATCTTTTCACTGTTTCTCGCGTTGATGCTCCTGTTGGCCTGCGGCGGGGATTCTGGGCCCAACCCAACCCCTGCTGATCCTACAGTCGCTCCAACCGAGGCAGCAGCCGAATCGACCGTCGAAGAGACCACCGCCTCCGACGATACGGAGAGCACCGGAGGCAACACAGATCGCCTGGTGCAGCTCTTTCGTGGATCCGCCGACGCTGGACCCGCACCTGACCACCGATGCCACGTCGGCCCGGGTCATCGTCGAGATTTTCGGCGGGCTGGTGACCATTGACCGCAACCTGGACATCGTGCCGGACCTGGCAGAAAGCTGGGACATAAGCGGCGATGGCCACGTCTACACCTTTCACATACGACCGGACGCCAAGTTCCATGACGGGAAACCCGTAACGGCCCGGGACGTGCTGTGGTCCCTTGAGCGGGTGACCAATCCGCTCACTGAGTCGCCAGTCGCCGACCAGTACCTGGGCGACATCGTCGGTGTCAAGGAAAAGCTGGCGGGAGACGCGACCACGATTTCAGGCGTACGCTATGTTGACGAACACACCATCGAGATAACCATCGACGGGGCGAAGTCGTACTTCCTGGCCAAAATGACCTATCCAACCGGGTTTGTTCTGGACCAGGAAAATGTGGAGGCCAACCCCCGCAGTTGGTTCCGGGAACCCAACGGCACGGGCCCTTCCACCTCAAGGAATACGTGGTTGGCGAGACGCTGGTCCTGGGACGCAACGAGCACTTCCACCTGGGATCGCCCAGGCTCGAAGAGGTGAAATTCATCCTCAGCGGCGGCACCTCGCTGCTCATGTACGAAAACGACGAAATTCACGTCGCGGGCGTGGGGCTGGCCGACCTGGACCGGCTCAGTGATCCAAGCAACGACCTCTACCCGGAGCTTCGCACGGCGCCCGCATCTTTCAGCGTCAACTATATCGGCATGAACGTAACCGAGCCGCCGCTGGACGACGTCAGGTGCGGCAGGCGCTCAATCTGGCCATCGACAAGCAGAAATCGCCTCGATCGTATTGGGCGACCTGGTTGATCCCGCCGACGGAATACTGCCGCCCAATTTCCCGGGCTACGACGAGGGCGTGCAAGGCTACGAGTTCGACCCCGTCAAGGCGCAGCAATTGCTGGGCGAGTCCAAGTACGGAGATGACCTGGCGAACATCCCCCCTATCACCATAACCACACCGGGCAACTTTGGGGCCAACGTCAGCCTGGATATGGAAGTCATACTCCAGATGTGGGAGCGAAACCTGGGGATAACCGCTGAATTCCAGCAGACGGAGTACGCCACCTTCCTGAAGGACCTGCACAGGGGAAGATTCCAGATGTTCGACATCGGCTGGATTGCCGATTATCCGGACCCCGAGAATTTCCTGGACATCTTGTTCCACAGCGAGAGCACCAACAATCACACCCACTACAGCAACCCTGAAGTGGACGACCTGCTGATGCGGGCCAGGGTAGAGACGGACACCACGGCGCGTTACGACCTGTACAACCAAGCGGAGCAGATGATTCTCGATGACGCTCCCTGGGTGCCGCTCTGGTTCGACGGCGAGAGCAAGCTGTTGGTCAAGCCGAACGTCCACGACTACCTGCTGCCGCCGCTGATCATTCCTCGTTACCGCTACATTTATCTGACGGACGAGTAGGCGGGGGTCGAGAAGCTGTGTCGTCTTACGTCCTGCGCCGGCTCATGTGGCTGCCCATCATACTGTTCGTCGTGTCGTTCGTTACCTTCATCCTGGGCAGGTACGGGCCGGGCGATCCGGTTCAGGTGCTTATGGGCCAGCACAACAACCCTGCCGTTGTTGAGCGGATCAGGGAGCAACGTGGCCTGAACGACAACATTTTCGTGCAGTACGGCCGCTACATCGGGAACGTCGCCCGCGGGGACTTCGGCGAGAGCTACAAGTACAGGGGCCGCACAGTCACCGAGTTGCTCAAGGCGAAAATGTGGGTGTCGGCCCAGTTGAACATCGCTGCGATGATCCTTTCCGTTAGCTTGGGAATCTCCATAGGCCTGTTCGCCGCCCTCAAGCAGGGCTCGCTCTGGGATACCGCGGCGGTGATGATGACGCTCTCGTGGCAGTCAGTGCCCGTCTTCCTTACCGCTCCGGGGCTGCTGTGGGTGTTTGCCTGGAAACTTGGGGTGCTGCCCACCCACGGGTGGGACGGCTTCTTTTCTACCAGCATCATTCTGCCGGCGGTCGCAATGGGCATCCCTGGCGTGGCTATCGTTGCGCGCTTGACCCGCGCCAGCACGTTGGAGGTGATCAGCCTCGACTACGTTCGCACCGCACGGGCCAAGGGGCTGCCCGAGATGATGGTTAGGCGGAGGCACATTCTGCGCAACGCCATGATCCCGGTCGTCACCTCGCTGGGCCTTTCGCTGGCGGGGATAGCGTTCACCTCGTCGTTATCGTGGAGCGGTGTCTTTGGGATTCCCGGGGTAGGAAACCTGCTTCATCGAGTCCATTTCGCCCGGGACTACCCGATCATAGACGGCGTGCTGCTGATTGGCACAACGATGTTCGTTATGGTCAACCTGCTGATAGACCTGGTATACCCTGTTCTGGATCCTCGCATCAGGCTGGGGCAGGGCAATGGTTGCATAGCGAAAGCGCGCCAATGTTCTTGGTGGAACGACACACTGGCGGGGACGAAACTACCTGACCATCTCCCTGCGCCGGCTGTTGGCCAACAAGATTGGCGTGGCCTGCCTGACTATAATCCTGCTGATGTACGGGGCCGGGATTCTCGCCCCTGTCGTGACCCCCCACGGCTATAACGACCAGAACCTGGCCAACGTCAAGCAGTCGCCGAGCCTGACACATCCCTTCGGAACCGACCGGCTGGGTCGCGACATTTTCACCCGCGTCATTTATGGCCTGCGCACCACCGTCATCCTGACCGTGGTCACGCTGACGACCGGCACGCTGGCTCTCGGCATAACGTTGGGGCTGCTGGCCGGCTATTTCGGCAGGTTGACCGACACGATAATCATGCGGGTCGGAGAGATCACCACCTCTTTCCCAGACATTTTCCTCGTGCTGATCATCGTCCTCACGGTACGTCCGCCCATGGTGGAGTGGCTGCGGGGAGTTGAGGACACGCTGGGCATTCATATTGTGCACCTGGGGATAGCGGACTACTTCGCGCTGTCACTGGGCCTGGCGCTGTTTTCGTGGTTCGGGATGGCCCGTCTAGTCAGGGGGCAGGTGTTGCAGGCGCGAGAGGAGCAATACGTCGACGCTGCCCGCTCCATCGGGTGCCGGACTCCCCGTCTGCTTTTCCGCCACCTGCTGCCCAACGTCAGCGGCCCGATAATTGTGCTGGTGTCGGCTTCGCTGGGAGGGATTGCCGGAGCGGAGGTGTTTCTCAGCTTCCTCGGGATCGGGATTTCAACCGCCCGTGCCCAGCCTGGGGTTGATGATCTATGCAAACGGCAGCCTGTCGGTCCTCAGGACCAACCCGCACCTGCTGATGTACCCGGTGGGGACCCTTGCCATTCTCCTCTTCACCTTCAGCCTGCTGGGCGACGCGGTGAACGACGCTTTCAACCCGAGGGCGCGCTAACTTTCCTCCAGCTCCATTTCGCCGCTGCTCACTTTGTATCATTACGGACGCGGCGGGCGACTACGATATCCTGATGACCGGCTACGGTTTCAACATAGCCGACCACGACGATTGCGTAGTTGACATTTACGGCCCAGCAAGCCGCAACTGGAGTCGCTGGAGGAGCTGCCAGCCCCTCAACCTGCTTGACCAGCAGTCCCGGGAATGGGAGCCCTGCAATCGCTGGCGATTGTGGCGAGCGCCTGGATCCCTGTGATGGGCGACCTACTGGCAGTTGCCTTGGCCATCATGTTCGTAAATCTGGCCACGGACGTGATCGACGTCTGGCCGGGCCAGAGGCTGCGCGGTTCCTGGCAAGTGATCGACCTTGGCTGCCTGCAAACTGAGCGTCAACACCATTGGCGGTCAGTCCTTTCTTCGGAACCTCCGAAGGAAGGGGATACCTGCCAGGGACAGGGGTGTTGCCATCAGTGCGAGAGCGCCAAGCCCAATGGGGGACCCGCCGGGCGGCGGAGCGGAGCAGGGAGACGATGAGCTGCCGGAGTCCTGTTCAGCGGAATCGCTCTCGGGCTCCTCTGTGGGAGCGTTCGTGGATAAAGGCTGAACGACGGTCTGGTCGCCTGACTCGTCTGATTCCTGCCCTGCGGACGATTCGCTTTCTGTTTCGGAAGACTCAGACTCCTGATCTGCTGATGCGGGCTCGGAACTGTCCTCGGGATCCTGGGATTCGGCAGCGCTTTTCATCTGCTCTTCCAGTTCCTCC